ACGAATGCCTACTGAAAAAGAAGATATATATATATATATATATACACTAAAAAGTAACTTACTCAGTCACAGTCTCTTGAAAGAGTGAAGGATGGCAACAGGTGAATGACAGTACCCCAACAAGGAAGAAACAGCTACCCAAAGAAGAGAATGGGAGATGATCATATGAGGTGTAGACCCAGTGCTCAACATACAAAGTACCTCCAACAGACAGCAGGGTAGACATTCAGGGAAAAGAGAAGATGCATGATCAGAGTGATGACACCAGGAAGTGATGGTAGGAAGAAGGAGACAAGGAATAAAAGATCAATCGAATCACAATCCAAACCCAATGGTAAGGGAGGAAAGGAAAAAGATCACAGACAAAGAAGTGGAATAAGGGAAGGAAATGTGGGAAATGGATTCAATGGAAAGATGCATTGAAAACAATGAAGCAGCCTACAACATGTATTGGACAAAAAAGGTCATCAAGATCCCACAGAGAAGAAATGTGGAAGATGGTAAGAAATGAAAAAGTTTAAAGAAATATACCACATGAGCCACGAAAATGTAGGTTAATAAAATTGATCCACAACAAAAGAAACAAATTGAGCTGAAACAGCCAAGAAAGATCAATCACATGGCAACTGTGATTTAATGTAAATCTGTCCAAACTTATCAACTGCCAGAGTAAGTGGATGATGAATCAGAGACCAAAAACAAAAGCAGTAACTAACTGGGAAGCAACAAAAGAATCAAAAACTTTACATGGAAGAGTACCCTACAGAAGGCAGAGCCACCAAAAATTAGGAGGATCGAGAGATCACTCCTTGGAAGTGAAAGGACTGGAAAATCAATTAACAACAAGAACAAAGCACCTGGAACACAACCCTTCAGGAAACGTATGTCATATGTGTGGGTTCAACCCAAGGAAATCCACTGATTACCTCAAAGGAAACAAGAAGGAGTGTCTGCTTGGTGAGTGATATAAGCCATCACCATCAAAAAGCCAAAATTAAACAGGATTAGTTAAGCTAGACAAGAAGAAGAGAGTGAACTAAAACACCTTGGACTGGCGGAAGTTTCCGGGTGTGAAGGGGATAAGACCTTTTGATTGTAGACCATTATCCTGAAGTCTCCTACTGATAGAACCACACACCCCACCTTTGGAGATGAGCATCAGGGAAGAGAAACAATCCAGAAGAGGGGGAGGAAGTGATAAACCTGACATTGTGGGGGATATGTTTAACTATAAATGCATATAGATGAATAGGGAAGGATGAAAATTAAAAGGAAAACCCAAAGTAAAGGCACAGATAACAGAAAACACCTTAGAATGCATTCTAGGAGGAGACTGTATGGTCCCAATGGAGGGGGTGTTTAAAAATACACCCCCCAAAGAGACTAGAATGTGAGGTATGTAGCAGGAAAAACATATTAAACTGGAAAATCCAACTACCCAAGCCGACTATGGAAGGAATAAAAGAGTATGTTGAGACTACCCCCATTCAGAAGGAGGTAATCGAAGCTAGACATCCAATGAATGGTGTTGGTAAAATCCCCCAAATATGGTAGTCGGGTAAAATGCAGACCACATCACAAAAGGCATATGGAACCAAAGCAAGTCCAAAAGTCAAGGCACAAAACTGGTACCCAATCACATGGTGAAAAAACCGAAGATAAGAACGTGTACCATGGGCATTCCCAGTCATGCATAAACAGCCTACCCAAATGTAATCAAAGATAAAATGTGACTATAGCATCACAGATACCTCACGTGATGCTAATTGTACAGGTGTAGCCAAAAAAAAATGGACCAGAAAAAGAACTGACTCTAAGACCCTACTGGCAGTGGATGGTAAACAAACAGCAGTGTTCCACTCTTGAAGATCCTAATAGCAAAGAAGCGACCTGCGGAGGGAACATACTGATGATGACAAACACCCCAATATGGTGGGAAGGAAGAGGAAGTATCCCACAAAATTCACTAAATATAAGTGGAACACCAAAAAAAGGAGGTGGAAGGTAAACATTAACTGTAGGAGTGCAGATAGGGTAAAATGAAGCTAAAGAAAACTAGGTAGGGGATGAAATGGATAGGATTAACCGAGATGCGAATGACATAAAATCAGGTAGAAAATCTGCCTGATGGTAAGCTAAGGCAAAAAGAATTAAAGCCTGTATAGGGAAAGGCTTGCAAGTACCCACTTTCAAAAGAGACAAAAAGATCCTCATAAAATAATATCATGAGAAGGAGAATATACTGTAAAACTTGTCTAACGAAAAAAAAAGAACTGAGATTGGCCTAGCAGATTCTGGAAGGCAATCCCTAATAAGGTGGAGAAAACTAACAAAATCTAGGTCATTTGAAAATAGGTTCAGCCATTATAGGAGGAAGGCAAACAATACTGGGAGCAGGTAGGGTGGACCCTGGACCCCCAGGGGCCCTCACAAACGAAATTAAGAAGTAGAAATTATAAATGAAAATGAAATCAATGGTAAGAAGGATAAACTATAAAGAAAGACAAAAATGAAATAGTCAATATAGTAGAAATGTTAAGAAATTGTATAGTGAAATGAACGTGTGTGTTTAAGAAAAGATATTTAACCTAATTATCGATTAATCCATAAACAGAACCATGGATAAACCAAAATAATAGACACTTATTAAGTGTAATTGAACAGTACAAAGCAAAGGATATCACTAAGCACTAAAATAAATACTTAACCAGACAATAATATGTACAATATTGGGATAAGTTTTTGTGGACCTTGGCTCAAGGGGAGAAATTACATCCTTAAAAAAAACTGAAAGAGCGAGGATTTTCTTGACTGGTATGGCAGTGCCCAAAGCAAACTCAATAGAAAGAACAGTCACTAAAATTTGTCATCTTCCTGGTCATTCTCAAACAAAATTGAAAGGATGTTGGCCAAAGGGATGGAAGGAGAAGGCCCACATGGATGAGAGAACCCACAACATGCTGAGCAATAGCTGTAATGTCCTCAACAGTCAATGAGTTTCCAGAAGCCATAGTAGAAACAGGTCCTGTGTTTGTGACTTATCACCCTCACAGAAAAAAGTCAAAATCACTGTCACTTGAGAATTCATAATAATCTTCAATACTTTTGAAATAAAAGCTAAGGTAAAACTAAACCTAAGTTCCTAAGTACAAATGCAAATTTCAGCAAATTTAACATAGAATGAAAAAAAAACATTTGTATAAGGCAATGCTGAGGAAAGAATGAAGTTATTTTCAGTGCAAGTATTTAAGGAAAGTTACTGCACTTGGAGATGGTGTTGCTCTCCTACCGGTGGAGGGCTTTTGCTGCATGATGATGTCATTATGCACCAGTGCAGTTCACATTAAACAAGAATTGTAGGCAGGAGTTAGCTCAATGCTAGTGCCATGAAATTCTCATGGGATATAGTTATTCTATGCACAGAGAAGGGGTATAGTCTCAGAATTTTGGAGTTTGTTGTAACTTGTTATTTATGGTACTTGTGGTATAATTGAAAATATATAGCTCGGGATAGGAAATCTATGCCATTCTGAAATATCTAGGGTTGTAACGAAGAGTAGACTTTGACCTTCAAAGGTTCAAACCTTCAGTAGTACTAACTTGCATAATTTACTGATGATATCACCATAATTACAAGTTTATATTTGACTGAAAGCCCTATTATTTTACAGATAAGCCATGTAAATGGAATAATACATTCACATGTTGTTTAAAAATACCTAATGTAGAAAAGTAAATATGTTTTTGTATTTTAAGTAAAAATGTATGTTGTTTATATATTTCATACTTGATGTTAAGTGTGATACTTAGTTACATACAGTAACCAAGTAAGCTTGCAGTGCAAGAGCTCCTTACTACAGCCAATTAAAACAACTGCAGTTAGCTTAAGCAAACCAATTCTTTATTTAACAGCCACTGTTTCAAGCGTTTATAACGTAAAAATAAAAATCACCTAATAACCATAACAATACACATTATCAGCATATACTTTATGCTTCATACTTATTCTACTGAAATACTTCTCTTACATCTTGTACACTAGGCATTCAACATTTTATTGAAGCATTGCAGCCACTAAATGTATATATATCCCTCACAGTTATCGTAATGGTCTGTTCTAATCACAGAAGGATGTGTTACATTTAACATTTTGATGGTGGTATGAGTGTTTGTGTTTTTTAACACAATAGCTTTTGTATAAGTAATGGCCATTATACAAATCAAAAGATCAAATTTTTCATGAGATTGACACTTAATGTGTTATTACTATTCAAACACTGTTAATTTCTCTTAACAAGACAAGAAAAAATATGAAATTGTTTGAATGCCATCTTACAAATCTTCAAATAATTATAACTATATCTGTATTCCTGGCTGGTAAACAAACTTTCAGACTTTCCCTAGGAAATTCAAATTTCTCACGTCCTCCAAGTTACACATTGTATCAGAGTATGAATTATTGTTTGGAAAATTTTCTATTTTAAATAACAATTTCAAAGTCCATTGTAAATTGTCAATTACAGTAGTAATAGCATAAATAAAAATATATAGCTTTGACTGGGAAGTTTATGACACTGGAATTTTTTAACACAAGTTCCTAGATATCAGGTAAATAAGGATCTGAATTATTAACAATTTTGAAGAACATTTTACCCCATTTTTTACATTACTTGCATTATGGTACAATTGAAAATGCATTCCTTTGGACAGATTGTCCGTACCACTTTGAAAAGTTTCACACAATTTCTGAATACCTTTTGTATCAGTATGTAAAATGTTTGGAAATTTTGCTGGTTTATTTGACAACTTTGAAATCCATTGTGATCCATTATTTACAACATTTATGTTATAATTAAAATTACATAACAATGAAAACAAAGCTTATTACACTAACATTTTTCATACTTTCCAAGTTACACATTTTGTCAAGGTATAATTTGTAAATTAGTGTTTAAAAATTAAAATGATGCTATAAGTGATAGTTTTAAGTCCAATATTACTGACAGTCAAATTCACTACTTATGTTTATTGCAGGACAAGTCAAATTTTCTAACAACCATAATGGCTTACAATAGTTTAACCTATTTTGCTTCTTTATGATAATTTTCAAAAGCAATATATTATGAGCTTTAGTTACAGTACTTGACATGCATCATAATACTACTTTGTTAAAGATAAAGATTCTACAGTTTTCAGTTGCATTTTATTTTTAGGTTGTCATTCGAAAACTTAAATATACTTGTCCGTCTCAATGATGTGATTTCTTATTCTTCTTGTGAAATCAATTACACGTTATTCTTTGAATAAGAAAGGATAGCTAACTTCACCCTACCGTAACTTGTGAGACTCCTAGAACGCAAAAACACGTTATTTCGTAGGGCCTCAGACTTAGCCTTAACGTCTTAAGCCTAATCGTAAATAATCTACTTCATCAAACTTCAAACTCAAAGGATACGATTCACATAACTTTCCAAAGATGCTGCCATTATTATTCAATCCGAGTTTGCATCCACGATATAAATAAAGCAATAATCAAACTACAGTTAAATTATTCTTTTTTTTCACTTTAATATTTAACAGTAGAAACTAATTTACTAATAAAGCCCTTCAACTCCAAAGCATAATAACGCTTGGAAAGTCGGAGTAAACAACACAGTTCTGAAGTTGTTTATTATATTCATTGCGCCAAACTAGGAAAGAGAATTTATTAAGTTTTTTGCTAACCTGACGTCAGCCGTTTTATTGAATCAGGTAAATAAGTATCTAATCAGGAACACTTTAGGTGTTGAAAAAAGGTGCGGCCAAAAAAGATTGAGCGTGCGAATAAAAGGAATGAAATCAAAATTGGCGGCCAAACTGGTAGCTATACTTATAGCATTGATAGGAATTTTATAACATATATTCATTCATTAGTTAGCCAGGCTGCGTTTTTGATCAATTTGGGGCATGATGATGAATAAAACAAAATACGCGACCTAGCTAACTAATGAACAAATATTTGCTGTAAAATTCAACGCTATAAGTGTAGCTACCAGTTTGACCGGCAATTTTGATTTCATTTTTTTAAGTCGCACGCTCAATCCTTTTTTGACCGCACATTATTTTTTCACGCCTAAAGTGTTTTTGATTAGATATAATGAATTTTTGTTAATACACACAAACAAACCAAAGCAAGTAAAAAAGTGACAATCAATAGTAACCAAAATTAGCTTAAAGATCGCAACCCTATTATTCGGAATAGACCTATATCTTACATAACCAGTCAGATTCTTTAAAATACATGATGATAGTTTCTTCTCTCTTTTAAACAGTGTGAATAACTTCCTTTATAGTAACGCCATGAAATTTAAATGAACAGTTTCTTGTCATCACCCGCATGCGCTCGGTACAGCCATATCAAGCATCATTATTTACGCTAATTGCTTTAGCTAATATCAACTGACGCTAAACGCTCTTTAATAAGGAGAATTTTAAAAATTTAGCAAATCTGTGCTTAAAAGTTCACAATGAATAATTACCATTCACCCATATGAAACTTTTGAAAACTTGAGCGAGAAACTGATAATCTACTTTGCTTGGCCTAACCAATACTTATGTATCTGCACGTCTTTTCACCTGTAGTTTTGCTTCTCTAAATCAGCTGTTTTTAATCCTAATGAGAATAAAACTAAAAGGTCCACTTTTACCCTTAGATGAAGTTAAAGTAATAATTTTAGACCATAGTTCACGTGACGTTTTGCCTAAGCGTGCACAAAGTTTTTGTCAAAATTGAGCGGTTTTTGTTAAATAACTTTGCACATGTGGCTTATATTTAAACCAAATTTGACACCTAATTCTAGGTTGTAAAGTTTTATTAGTGTACCAAATTTGAAAAAAAAATGCACTGAAGATTATTAAGTTCTTCTATCAGTACTTTGGTGCGAAGACAAAAAAGGAAGAAATTCATTCAAATTTAGAGATTTTTATATTGTGTATTTCTTAACTAATTGCACTGAAATTTGGTATGTGAAGTAAGGGCCCAGTAGAGCACATCCACTGAAAATATGTGATAGTTTGGATTACCACAGTTTGAACTACAGAAAGTGGAAAATCGATAAACTATCACTTCTGTTAATATTAACACAATTTGTCTTGCGTGTTGTTTTGTTCGCACGACACAGTATCGTGTGTTTTGATTCGCAATTGTCTTTGGCTTGTGATTCATCGCTATTCCCCTGGTGGAATAGCGGTAAGTCTATGGACTTAGCATGCTAAAATCTAAAAATCTATTCCCCATGATGGACACAATGTGGCTTAACTCTAAAGCAAACAAACAAATAAAATTTACTGCTAACTTTTCTTGGCCAATAACAGAATCTTACAGGTGATATTGAAATTTCTTTACTATTGTGAGAAAAATTGTTTTTATTATCTTCCTATCAAGAATTTTGGCAATAATGTTAGAGAGAAAAACTATCCTTAATTTCCACATAATAATAACGTTACGACAGCGGAAGTCACGCGACGCTGGGAGCATGCGCGCTGTAGTTTCTAGAAGGATCGTGACTTATCGGGCAACCTCATGAATGTCCCAGCGTTTGCTAGACGCCCTCTTTTTTTAGTACATAAGCCGGAGATAGATTGAAGAGAAATAATTGATAATTGAGTCAAGCAAACAGTAGGCACCGCAAGTAAAGTGTGTGAATCGCTGTGAATTATAGCGTGTATTTATAAAAGTATTTAAGTTAAAGTGACTGTGGAAATTCTGTGTATTGCAACGTTGTATCGAGAAAGAATAAACTAGTTTTAATTAAGAAAGGACTTGTATTGCTGAAGTTTATCTGAAAGAATTCTACGGGAAATTAAAAAAAAGCAGATACGTAACAATAATAATAAATACTTTTTATTTCAGTCAACGTTTTGCTCTTGCAGCTTCATTAGGGCTAGTAGTACATAATAAGATGAGCTAAGAAGTTCACTATTTAAAGAAAAGAGTTCATAGCTTTGTTCATGGAAAGCCTTGCAGCATGTTGATCGGTACTGGTTCTAAAACAACAATTGTTTGGCCAAATTTGTTAATGAAAAGTGGGAAATTGTCTTCTGATATGAGAAAAAAAGTGAAAGAGTTATGGGAATGGTGAGTGAACATATAAAGTTCCTTCCAAAGACAAGTTAGAAGTTGCTCTTACTATGTGAAACTTCTCTGTACCTCACAGTGTGTGAGTAATTGACATGAAAGAAGAGAACATATTAGGAACTGGCTCTTTGTGGAGACATGGATGCTTCGAATATTTTTACAGTCTACAACCAGGAAATCCCTACTACACGACAATTACTACACCAGAGATTAAATTTCCTGTAACAACAAGGAGAATAGTCACTGTGGCATCAAGAAGTGAAGTATTCATACCAGGACTTGTTCAAAATAAATTTACATCTAGTGAGTAGGTCACAGTAGCATGTCCTGATGGATTAATGGTTAATAGAGCTCTTGTAGTTCTGAAGAATAAAAATACCACCCTTAGAACCATAAACATAAAAAAAACTAAAATTCGAGTCAAATATCGATAGGACATTGCAAGATGCGAGGTTTTACAGATAGTACTTCCATATGTAAGAGCATTGGAATTAATAGCCTTTGAGGAAAGATGTGGGGAGCTTGGTATTAAACCCTTACAGAAGGACAGCTTAACACCTCACTTGCAATACTTTTTATTGTTATAGCAGTGGAGGTGTGTTGACTGCTCACGGAATATCAAGATACCTTCTCCAGTAGACTTCACGAGTCAAGTTAAAGAAGTAAAAATCTCACAAGATTGATACTGGAGATGAAACCCCAACACACCAGCTAGACAGATGACTTCCACTAACGAAACAGGTTGATGCTTTTACAGAGATAGAAGCCATGAAGGTTTCAAAAAGATAAAAGCCTTAGAGGAACAATGAGTAACAGAACTGAGGATTAGTCAATGGACATCACCTACTGTACTTCTAAAAAGAAATGGATCCACAAGGTTCTGTGTGTACAATCACAAAGTGAATAAAGTTACGAAGAAGGATACCTTTCCACTACCAAGAACTGGCTCTACTTTGGATGTTCTAACAGATCAAAATTGTTTTCAACATTGGACCTAAAAAGTAGATATTGGCAAGTACAACTCGACAAAGTGAGTAGAGAAAAGATAGAATTTTACCACAGGAAATGGATTACAGCATTTGGATTTTGTAATGCTCCAGCTACATTTTAACAAGTAATTGGAGTGTGTTTATTCTGAACTGCCCTGAAACATTATACTCATCTACGTGGATGACATAATTGACATTATCCAAGTCAGCTCGACTGTGTAAGAATCACTTGCAATATTAATCCCTCATTCTTTTCTACTGAGACAAATTACTGTCTATATGACAACAAGACAGCAGAGAAAAAGATAAGTCTGAGTTGGAGAGTGTGGAATGTAAGTTCATGCTATCTGATAGGGACAACAAAGGGCAGCATGACCAGAAAAGCCTGGGGATCAGGAAATCCTTAGGTTTTCTTGGTGCATATTCTACCAGCGAGGTTGGGCAAGAGCAGATGTTTAGCCCATAGATATGTGTTATGATTTATGATGTGTTATCATTGTGTTATGACCCTTTTTAAACTTAGAACTTGGCTTAACCTTTGACCAGTTAGGATTTGGTCAACCTTGTATTTGAATCTGGACTTTAAGTACTTAAAGTCGAGTTTTAGCCATGCTACGTCTCTCTTTTATTGACTAGCCAGTGGTTATCCTGTCTTTGCCTATTTATATCTGGGATCCAAAGCTTTATTCCAGCATGAAGGCCTGAATCCATCGAACACCATGATAGAAGTGACCTCAGCTTCACCATAAACAAGCCCATTGATGAAGAGACATTGGTTATTTAAAGCTATGCTGTAGGAGAGCTTATTGTCTCAGTGAATGGGATGAACCTGATATCGCCAGGGTCAAAGCTGCTTCTGATGAGTGAAAATCCTGCTGCTTCTGAGAAGCCAGAGGACATTCAAAGTACAAAATCATCAATGATGTTGACTCTGTATATGTCTGTTTTAATCCCACCCAAGGAAAAAGTGAAACCTGAGGAGCAACATGGCTCAGTAACTTACCCCATTGGATGATGTGCCACAACCATGATGAAGTAATGACAGATGTGTTTAGATCTTTGATGAGATCACTACATATCAAAGCCAAATAATAGCTTTCAAGTACTAGTTTCCTCCCAAAGGACATACAAGTCAGATGACAGGTGTGGAGCAGACCCCAAGGTAGCTGGCAGGGGTCATGCATATAAGTCAACTGGCTTGTGGACCATTTCCACTGTTAAAGAGGAAGCCCCATGGTGTGGGATGATCGACCTTGCCAGACCTGTGCTGCAATGACATTAGAATCCCCACTAGCAAAGCAACCTCGAAAAGCCCAAAGAATACCAAGGGTAGACCTCCCAATTAGATCACCCAAGGTTATCACACAATGATCCACATAAGAGCAGATTTCAGTATTCAAAAGGCACTGCTAGGAGATGATGCTCCAGAGTTCATCCATTCCAGGCCACGAACTATGTAAAACATCTCAGGGATTGATCCATATCCTCTTTTATGGTCTCTTTGAAGGTTGGAGGAGTGAGTTGTTTGACCTCATTCACCAGCCCCTGCATACTAGACCAAAGCCTCTCATTTTTCATTGACCTAAGCAGTGTAGTTCCTCTATGTTCCCTGGCTATATAGTGACAAGTTGCTCATGGTAGCTCATCATACAGCCCTGCTCAAACCCTCTTGGTGCTTTGAGCTATGTATGCTTATAGACTCATCTGTTGGGGAGACAACTCTAAGTGGCAGAATTCCTCTACCAGCAGCAGATACAGCCTCTGTACACTCATCATTGGTGGTTTTGACCAGAGATGGGATTGTTGTGGTCTGACTGAAAATGGAGTGAGATCAATTTTAAGGAGCACAGCCTACTCACTTAATTTGAGTACAAATCTCCGTGAGTTAACAGCTACAGGTTGACTGATACCATCGATTTCTGCAGCATTGGCAAAAGCTCCGTGTTCTAGGAAGGAACTCCCTATAGACTCGACACCATTCCTGCACAACTATTTCTCTCCATGAATGGACTTTCCCCTTCTCATCAATGAGTACTTCCACATTGAAGAAAGCCATTCTCTTCATGGAGGCTTTCCTTTCAAACTGAGTTAGCAAGAGAATGAATTGGGCTGTATAAGCACTTTATATCACTACAAGAAAACATCGATAATAAATCCTGTCACGGCACCAAATTTTTATCTTTCTATCAACTTGTGGTATTTTCAGTTTAAATGAATTTTCCGGCAAGTGTGATATCGAATGTCACACAGTAACTGAAGCGTTCACCCAGAAATTTATGGAATTCTTTGTGTGAGATCATGTGATTGAGTTTCTCTCCTTAGAGGAAAAATAACGAGTCTGAGCATTTTCTGAATAAATTAACAAAATCTCTATTTTAGCAATAAATAGTAAAACACAGTTTGTGTACCTACACTGACGGCAAACAGCCATTTCTCCGCTGTAGTGGGTGTTCAGTCTTGTAGCTTTCAACACTAAACACGATAATGCTAATAACTCTGGACCACATGTTACCACCATGAAAGCGTGGAAACTGAATAATTAATAACTTGTTAAAATTCTATATTACTAGAGGAGGTAGAAGCCCGTGATACGCCTGCATATCACAAGTGATTGAACTGCTTGCATGTTTGGAATAATTATTTTTATACATTTTTCTACATATCTTATTTTTTTTTCGGTACCACGGATTATAAGCCCATGATTAAGCTTGAAAATTCTGCTTTTTTATGGATTATAAGTGTTTATTAATTATTTTAACATATTATAAAAAAACACGAATGTTAAATATCTAGATGACTTCAGATTGGTAAGAACGAACGTTTAACTGAGAATGTTGGATGTGAGAAGATAAATTATAAATTGTACCGAAGTTTATGATACATTATCTGTACTCGTATGTTATGTGAATTTTATTTCTTTAATTTTGTATAATATTAAATACATTATGTTTAAATGTAACTCGTAAATGTAAAAGTAAGAGTTCAATAACGTTGATTTAACTTTATGTTCAAGCCTATAGTAATTCTAAATTAGTAATATTACTATTATTAGTATATAGCACTTAGCAGCAGAAGACCTCATTAATTAACGTCAATATATTGTTTTAGTAAAACTAAAATTTCAAGCTTTAAAATAATCTAATTTACTGAAAACAGCTAAGTAGTTATCGTAATTGGGGATATAATAGACTATGTAAGTACATTATTATACGTTTCTTGTATGTTATTGTTAGTAGAAGTAGTAGTACTGCTATTACTATTACTCAATTTACTGTAGCCCGTGATTCATAATCATAGTGAGAATTTCATGACGCAGAAGTTGGTTTATTTAGGAGCAGTTTCTTTTTTTAGTTTCCTCTTCAAATTCACAAACAAAATTTAGTTGCAAATAGCCTACCTTAAAACAAATTAAAAAATAATAATAATAAAAATCACAGTCTCTGTGAAGCAGGCAAAAATATTAACTTTCTGAAATGACTGCACATTGAGTACTTCTCCAAGCTTTTTGGGGGACAATGGATATAGGCCACTACTTTGAAAGAGTTGGAATGGAGAAAAAGGAAAACTTATTGATCTCTTTTAAAAGTACAAGTATCCTGGCCAAAAACCAAGTTTGTTACTCAGATATCCCCCAAAATGACAAATTTTTGCTTTATCCCTGTAACTAATACATCATGATGCGTTTTCAGGGTACACTGTCATTGGGCCATTTATTTGAAAGAGCTTTTTTTAGAAGAAATCAAATTCATAAATATTTAGATGCATATATCTCCTTGATGCAAAATACCCAGTTGGATGACATCAAAGCCAAAGTGCACAGAACTGTTGATGCTTTTGGGGTGAATAGAGAAACATGTACATGTCAGAATTATGTAAAGTTATGATGCTGTGAATTACAGGTCAGAAAGTAGATTTTTTTAACCACTTAAGAAGTAGTCAAATGTAGAACCAGATGATGTGTACGAGAACAGAAGATTAAAAAAGGACCCCACTTAGAAAAATTTGATTTCTGAAACAATAAACATGATGAACAAGAGCAAGCATTAGAATCAAAGAATTATGGCAATGTCTAAACATTTTCTGTTAGAGTCATAAACTGCAATAATACCTTTATGTAATGGGGTGAATTTGAGCAAATAATGCAGAAATTTGTGAAAGGTAGATTAAGTAAGACAACCTTAGGCATTTCCAAAGGGCCACATACCAGAAACAAAATAGTAAAGATTGCAAAAACTGTAGAAGAGGACACCGATGACATAGAGCATGGACTGATGATGTTGAACAAGAAACAAAAGCTTCACTCTGTGTGGAATACTGTCATCTCAGTCAAGAAGAGAAGTGGAAAAGGTGAAAGAAAAAACAACATTAACCAGCTAAATACTACCAATACCACACTGAAACCTCCACTATAGGAAGCTGCATCCAATCATCCATCGTGGTCTAGAAAAGTGAATCTTGGAAGAATGGCTCTTAAGTTGAAGAATACTTGCACTGTTAATAGCCTACATTTATTTGGCAGTGCAAAAGAGCAATTATTTTTTCCTTCAGCTAAAGAAAATAAGCAACAAAAGATACCAGAATTAAGCCAATTACCAGTTCCAACATTTCACTAAACTAGAGTAAATGAAAAGCAAAATCAAGTGGTTAAAACAGTTTGATTGTTTCAGTAGAAGTGTCTCAGATGAGTATAACAGTGAGGAGGATTTTTTTGCCTGTCACTGTGATTATTTAACAAGAACAAAGGTTAAATTGGCATGCAGGGATCATTGTTGGCTAGAACTGCTGATTGTCCAAACTTCTATGGTCCTTGATGTTCTGTTTTGAATTCCAAAAAAGGATTGCAGCAGTTTTACTAGAAAGATATGAACTTCAACTTAAAAATTAAGAAAATTTTCATTAATTTATCCGTTTAATTGATATATGTGAATAATCTTTCTCATATTAACAAAATATCAAAATAAAATAAATTTTTCTGAAAAAAGTTATATAAAAAAATCAACCTTAAAGTGATTAGACTAATTGCATATTTAATTAATACAGTAGCTAGATTTAGTGATTTACATAATATAGACTTTGTAATTTTGGAAGCTCTTGTTTCTCTAGAGAACATATCATTATATGGTTAGCAAGAGTTTTAAAAGACTTATTTATTTTAATTTTATTTCACTGATTGATAAATATCTCATTGTTTTTAAATATCTAGATGTTACATTTGGTATATTTCAATGAGCAATATTTGTACTTTCCACATTACCACGTACCTGAAGGACTTTACTATTTGAATAACTTTGATGGATAATAAAAACCTATATGCAGATTTAATGTAAATGTAAACTTATTTGGATATAGTTGAGTTTTTTAAACCATGTAAAGTAAAGTATTGTTTGTACATGGTGTTTTTTATATCTTTAATACTATATGACATTTAAGTTAAGTAATCTTTTATCAACTCTGTGGATGTATTTTTAGGTATGTTTACTGTGAGATGTATAGATTAATCATGGAAAGAATATTAATACTGTATTAGTTGTGAAAAATATCAAATTCATTATCCTTACAGATGTTTTGTTTATTATTCTTTCTTCACATCTTACAGTTAACTTTTCTATTTTTCATAATTTTTTTACAAGTGAATTAAGTTTAAACATTAATCAGTACTTGTGAAATCCTGGGAGTTCAGAATCTCTTTGTACCAAAACAATTATTTTAAACTTTGTTTTTCTTTATTATTTATACAGTCACAAGCTCCTTTTTCATGAAGGTAAAATTAATGCAGGGTGAAAAAAAAATTATAATTTTATCTCCTATCATTTTTGTTGATTTCTTGGTGACAAGTAGGTTTTGGGCTAAACTGTTTTTACTGGCAAGTAATTAAAAAGTGTGCTTGTTGGCTAAAGTACATCCCATTTCCAGTCTGAAATAGATCTTTTGTATCTGTTAAATATTATCTAGCTGTATAGTACTCGTACTGATATTCAGTATTGCATAGTCCAGGACAGAGTTGACGAGATTTGTAGATCATAACTGGTGACATTCTTCAGCTCTACTTCCTGCTGCAACTTTCAGTGGAATTAATTATTTTGCTTGTTTTGGTTATCGTGGCATTCATGTGGCTGGTGAAGTTGAGTATCTATCAAAGGTTATCCTGGGCCTCAAATAGTTTTGTATTTCTTCCAGAGGAATAGCAGTGCCTGAGAAAGATGATGATGGTTTGTTCTAATCAGCATATCTGTTGATGATTGTGCAGAGCATGGCTTCAGCTTTGGCAGTATTGATGAAGATTTCTGTGTTATTGCATCATTTGCTCACCCTGCTAATGAGTAGTTCTTATATTTGATTTCAACTTTCCTAGAACTTCTCTGTTGTACTTCATGATGTTGTCAGCAAAGATTAACAAAGTCTGGGTGGACTGTCAATGCATTCTAGTTCTTTGGTGTAGATATTAAAGAGGTTTGTTAAGAGTGGTGATCCAGTGTTGATGTTGAATCAGTCTGATTGCCAGCTTCCATGCTTCATGATGCATCTTTTTGTAATTATTGCAGCTAAGACCCATCTTACACATATCACACTGATGCCTATTCTGAGAATTTTATCAGCAAAAATGGGCATCTGGACTCTATTGTAGTCATTGTCTAGATTTAGAGACCAGCTTCAAAGCCTTCCCATTTATCAGCTGCAAATTTAGCACTGATGATCCATGTTTTTAAATCTACTGAGATAACCACCTAACCACATTATGGTTCAATATGACAGGCAAGCCTTCTCTGTCAATGATGTTTTCTTGGACAATGATTTGATGGTGTCTAAGGAGGGAGAGAGATCCTTCACAGGTTTGGGTGAGGGTTTGAAAAAAGCATTGGTCCATGTTTCAGAGATACTACCTGTTGCCCAGCTACATTGATACCCCAACGATACCTTCAATAAGTTGGCTTTTGTAAGCTTCTTAAAAGTAGAGGTTCTTACACTATATATACCTGTATCTTCATCTTTAGATGTATTTATGGCTCTGTGTATTTCATCCAAGCTAAAGATAGCTTCCATATATAAGTATAGTTGTAGCATATATAGAGAGTACTGTATTTTGAACCACTTCTGAATGTCCTGATCACCAGTAGAGAGCACAAACTATTATATGCATTCCTTGCCTTCTGTACCAGTACTGTGTTATGCCTTATCGGCATGAACTCACCTCAGGCTTGATTGCATGATTTTTAGGTTTTATCAGTATCATTATTCCACCAGTTGCATAAGTTACTGATTTGGCTTAACTTGATAGTGGAGAGATACTAGAAGGTACCCACTTCCCAGGTGGAATGTCTGACATTGAGGTCTCCTCACAGTAAATACACAGGAATCTTGCCAGACAGGCAAGAATGTCCAATCTTCAGCATGAATTGTTGTGTTACCATTCTTGCACACACTGGTGATTTGTATTTGTATGGGTAACATTAGTTTGCAGTGGTGCTTGTTCCACTTATAGCTATCATGATGTTCATAGTGGATGGTGCTGCTGTTGTGTTGAACTGAAGTGTTGTAATGAACAATTACTTATCATATTGTGAGACTGACAAAGTTTGGTGAACTTTTTAAGCATTAGGCATTTATTAGCTCGGTGTTTAGACCTCAGTTTTCTGTTCTTCTACTGGAAAGGTCGTATCCCCAGCTAAGTGGTTATCTCCTTTGCCCCCACAGTCATTCATATGTGCACTTTTTTTTTAATGTTTTGTTTCTAGGCAATAAATTAACCACTTGCTGTTCAGGATAAGATAAATGAGTGATGGCGAGCCAGGATTCTATTACAATACAGTTGCCATTCTTAAGGTGAGTACACTTGACATTAGCGTATAAAGATACCACTCTCAAGAAGCCTCTCTGTTGTTTCCATTCTCTAGTAACAGTGTGTGCAAGGTGTCCTCTCTGCTTGTTAATTTAGTGTGATACTAACTAAGTTGCATTGGCCATTGATTCCATATGTAGAGATTCATTTTCTCTAATGTTGCCCATAATTAGGCTCCAGGTGGTTAACACTAAGATTATTCTTACCAATAAATTTGCCCCTGTCTCAGACTGATGTCTCAGCACGTACTTAAACTTAGCTAAGTCTAACATAAGTGATAACTCTGTACTGTACATACAATGGTACTCACAGTAACTCTAATTATAATTAAAATTTAATGCTAGAGCTATAATCAGTATATAGTGACACTCTACATTGCCTATAAATGGACACATGGTAACACTGTAAGTAACAAAATATAACACAAACTGTAGCAGTGTCTGAGTGACATACTAGGGTTTTGATCAAGATATTTGTATGTTTTAGTGATCACAGAATTTTTTCTACATCATATCTCTTTCAAATTAATGGCCTAAATTGAGTGTACCCCAAAAGATTGTTAAATATTTAATTAGTAGTCATTTCTTTAAGTTACTTTGGGTGCTGCATAATGACTGTGGTCAGTTTCTTCAAAACATCAGTCTTTATCCAGGATATTTGCACCTAAGTATTATTTATGTATTTTATCTCTCCTAGAAAGTTATTTTAAGTAAGTAGCCCAAAGTCAGTTTAACCCTAAAAACACATTGTTATATATTCAGTAAAGAGATAATGCAGAAATGTGGTGGTGTTGAAGTTACAAACGGGGTTTTGAGTCATGATATTTGTACGTTTAAATGATCAAGAAGTTTCTTTCTCCATCAAAACTCATTCAAAGTAATGGCCCAAATCTGTTATACCCCAAAAGTGTGAAGTAATTTTGGAAAGCCAGGCTATTTTAGCTGCTTTGCAGAGTCTGTGAACAATTTTTTTAATTGAAAAAAAATCAGTTTTAAACAGTGCTGTTTGTACCAGTTGTTTATTATTTTGAACTTGAAAGTGAATAAGAAACTATGCCAGAATAAGAAACCAACCTCAATTTTATGTGAACCTGACCAAAGTTGAGAAGGTCCATGCAGCTGGGGCTAATACACATATACAATGTAAAGCCATTAGATAAAAATTCATTCAGAAGAAGAAACCTTTATTTGAAACAAAAAAGTCAGTAAAATCATAAAAGTTCAGTAGTTACACTTCTCATTGCTAGTAATTAGTAAACACTTTGTCAATGTAGCTGATTTCTTGTTCTGCCATACTTGACGCTTTGATTTATTACAGTTTCATATTCAAAAATATGTTAAATATTTCACTGTTTTTCAATATATTAGATTGTTTCCAAACTGCTACTCTCTCATGTCACTGACTTTTACTAAAATAAGTGTTTTAATGCGTTTTGTCATTTCTTGTTTCTAATTAGTTAGACTGAAGGTGTACAGGGATTCTTAGTAAAGTACATAAAGTTCTTCCTGAATAACTGGAATATTTTTCAGGCAATAATTTCAGTTCAAATTCAATAATGTTTGTTAAAACAAGCTTTAGCATTCCTTACCAAAATTAGCATCAGGTCACAAAAATTACTGCAAAATAATAAATAATATGAAATTACTTGCAGTTTGTAACCAGTGAGAGGGCATGTCATTCCAGCAACAGTAACTAGGGCACTTTTCTAGGCTATATCATTCATTGGGAAGGCCATACACTGAAAGTAGAGTCTGTAAATTCTGAGGTAAGTGAAATGTCTCGGCAATAAAAGTAAAACCTGAGAGTTCAATTATTAGATATTAGGTTACTGCAGAATAAGTCTCCAAATAAGTTTAAACTTCTGCAGTGTATTACTTGATATTCCACTGTCAAGCTTGTTATACTTTACATTTTAATGCTAATACTTACCTATTATAAATCTTTAAATTTTTTGTATGATTTTTTCAAGACATATGACAGGAATTATAATGCATATCTTGAAATTACTCTTATTTTGATATCATAGCTAATGTATGAGGCATAAGAGGCAGTATTATTCAATCATTAATGGTAATTGATACAGGATGTCTGAAAGTAAAGTCACTAGACTCTGGGGAGGATGAATATCTCAGTTATAAAAATAAACTTCATTGTCTAATAGTTTCATTTCTAAGGTCCTGGTGCTGCTTTCATTCTACTGCCAATTCTTATTCTCTCACTGAAATCCACAACTAGGTCCCTGTTCTTCCTAATGTAAAGTTGGCAGGATAAAAATTAGCTGAAACACTAATTTGGCCAACCTACCCAAAGGGAGAGAAGGAAAGATTAAATGTTAGAGAATGGCTGTAGGTCTATGTTATTCTTTTAGAACATTGATGTGCATGTATCACAGGGATAAGATGGGATTTGGTATTAGATCAGAAAACTCAGTTTAATAAACATAATTCATTTGAAGTTTAACAATTAGATACCTCATTTACTGTTTGAATAACGTACACACTGTATTAGTCTTAAGAATATACAAAAATCTTGCTTCAGAAATATAATATTTTGTTTATCATTAGGCCTACACCTTGTTTACACCTATATCTTAAAGCACAATTGATGGCAACATTTTCAGTTTGATATGTGTTAATAAAGCAGTAGAATCATCCACTTAATGTAAGGAAACCTTTAAAACCAGTGTGATAATGAACATTCACTCTTGGAGGGACTAGTTTTTTTTGTTTTTTTATAAATAAGTTAATGGTAGTTCAAAAATTACACCCATTGTCTGTCACACACAAACTTTGGACAAGATGGGAGTTGGCAGCATGCCATTATTAGATTTGTATTAGTTTAATTTATAACTATGGCAAGTCAGTTAACATTTAAATTTTTAATATTTTTGCTAAGATATGCATTTATAACAGGTTTTTATACTCACTAAAAATATCTGATGTTTAACATCTTCAGAGTTGTTTTAGAATCTCATATCAAGGCTGAAATTTTGATACATTATGTAAAACAGTCATGATGAAAATTAGATAACTGTCAGGTAGTTAATATGAACTGGGGAAAATCACTGCAGGACAAATGCAACTAAATAAGTAATAGATGACTTTTGGCAAATATTTTAAAAATCTTTGGGTGTGTTTTATTAGAAAGGAACTGGTATTTTACCGGCTTTGTAAATTTAAAGCAAGTTGTTTATTATGCAATAGAACGGAGATATTATGTTGACAGACTACATTTGTTTTTTCGAAATAATATCTGTGGCCTAATACAGGTAAGGAGCAACTTAGGGTACTTCTATGAAATTGATTGTAGGGATTAGTTTGGAGCAGATGTAAAGAAGAAGTTCACAAAAGAGTTACACTTACAAAACGTGTTTATACATGGATGAAGTATAATTAAGATTATTACCAAAGTAAAAATAAATAATAAGTGTAATTAAGTAATACTTATTTGTTTGTATAGAACATTTGAAATAATTAAGATGAACTAGCTGCCTCAGTGTTTTAGTCAAGGCCCTTATATGGTATTTGTGTAACTTGTTGAATATTTTTACGACTTAGTATGTGTACTATAGTTTGGTATTATTTTAGATCTTTGTTATTTATGTATATAAAAAGGATTCACTTAATTATGTTGGTTTTGCTTGTTTGTGGCTTGGGGATGACTACTATTACCTTACTTCTATATTCAAAGTATGTATTCAAAAAAGTCTGATTCCTCTTCTTTTTAAGTCAATAATTAAAAAATATTTGACCATCTATGACCCGTTTGGTCACCCACTATTCAGAGGTTATGAAGAATTCAAGCTAATTTCAATATTGCACCATAATGAAGGTTTATTTTGAG